GTGGAGCTGCTGCCTCCTGCCAGGGCTGCCACTTCTGGGAGCAGCGCGAGCAAGGGGGCTGGAAGCCTGCCTTAGCTCCATTGTGCTGCTGGGAGCCGTGGGCTCCTAAACCACCCAGGTCCCTGAGCAATTGCCTGCTCTGCCCCTTCCCCCGCTGGCGAGCCTGCGCCGCGGCACTGCTCACGCCTTTCCCTCCTGCAGAATGACGCGACGCCCGACCAGGGCAGCATGGAGGATCTCTCCAAGGTGAAGAGCGTTGATGAGCCAGACGAAGCACCACACAGGTCATCCCAGCTCCTGGAGCCAGTCAGCATTCAGCGGAGATCGCCCTTGATCCGCAACCGGAAAACGGGCTCCATGGAGGTAACGGCCAGGCGCAGTCTGCTTGCCCAGATGTGGAGCTCAGCTTTGCCACTGCTTGTCCTGGGACTCGCCTTTCCCAGTGCGCCAGGTTGGGTGTTACTGCTGTGGAAGGTGCTACGGGCCCAGTGGGCCCGAGGGAAAGCCGGTTGTGAACAAATGCAGCAGGGTTGGAAAAAGGTGCAGCAATAGCGATGGGAGAAGAGCCTCTGAGGCACAGCGGGTCAATGCAGAGTCGGCACGTCCCCTGCGCTGTCGGGGCCTAGGGCACCATTGCCTCCAGGCTGCATTGCGCTAGCCCCTTCTTGGGCTTCTCCTGAAGCTGAACTGGCAGATGCCGCGCTGCACATCCCCGCCTGCAGGCTTATGGGAGGGGGCGGCGCCTGCTGTCTGATTAACACGGGCAGACGCGGGACATTCCCAAGTTGTTAGTTTGTCTGGGCTCAGCTGGGTTGGCCTTGGGGCCCTGTCCTCAGGGTCTGTCTGTCTGTCTGGGCTCAGCTGGGTTGGCCTTGGGGCCCTGTCCTCAGGGTCTGTCTGTCTGTCTGGGCTCAGCTGGGTTGGCCTTGGGGCCCTGTCCTCAGGGTCTGTCTGTCTGTCTGGGCTCAGCTGGGTTGGCCTTGGGGCCCTGTCCTCAGGGTCTGTCTGTCTGTCTGGGCTCAGCTGGGTTGGCCTTGGGGCCCTGTCCTCAGGGTCTGTCTGTCTGTCTGGGCTCAGCTGGGTTGGCCTTGGGGCCCTGTCCTCAGGGTCTGTCTGTCTGGGGTATCTCGATGGTGGGGACTAAGCCCGCAGTATCCAAAAATCCCCTTCAAGGCTCGGTGTCCTGTCGTCTGGGACATCACTCGCTCTGACGCCAGCTGCTTTGTTGGAGTGTCTGGGGCTGCGGGATCATTAGCTGTCTTGGGCCTTCCTTATTGTCGGCCATGAAGTCCCAGGTGCCTTTTTGGTGATTGGCACCCAATAAATGAACCATGTTCTGGGGGCTCCAGTGGATCTAGTGTCCTTGAACTTTCAGAAAGGCTCTTGAGCAAACTAAGCGGTCATGGGATGTGGGGGAAGGTCCTCTCGTGGGTCTGTTTAACACAAGGGTAGGAATAAATCGTCTTTTTCACAGTGGAGAGAAGTAAGTAGCAGGGTCCCCCAAGTGACTGTAGTGGGACCTGCACTGCTCAGCATGCGCAGAAGTGATCTGGAACAGGAGAGCAATCACGAGGCAGCGCGACTTTCAGGTGATAGAAACTTACCCAAATAGCTCCGCTCAAAGCTGGCTGCGAGACCTCACAGACCTGGCTGATGGGGTAACATGACAGATGAAACTCGGTGTTGATAAATGTGCAGCAGTGCCTGCTGGAAAACATCTCGATGGTGCATACGAAATGACGGGCTCTAAATTAGCTGGACCGCTCCTAGAGATCTTGGCGTCCTTGTGGAGCGTTTTCAGAAGACACCAGCGCAGTGAACTCCGAATGCTAACAATGGCAGGAACTGTGAGGGAAGGGATCTAGACCCAAACCAACAGCGTTGCCATATTTGACAGACCCCTTCCAAAGCAGACTGGACCCCTGCAGGCTTACCACCAGACCGGGTCTTACTAGAGACTGGGGGTGGCTAGCTCAGTACAAAGAATCTTCCCCTTTGGGTATTCTCACCTTCCTACCGCCTCTACCCGCGCTGGACTGGCATCGCTGACACTGGCCCGCCTCTCGTCGCTGGTGTGTAGATATCCCCGTCCACGTCCTGTGTCGGACAAAGTGCGCTCCAGCCCACTGACGCTTCTGCCAAGTACATTTGTCCTTAAGGTGCCACCAGACTCCTCATGGCTTTTGCTGAAAATAATATGGCTAATGCTCTGACTCGAATAACACAGAAGACACCATCGTGGCACTATATAAATCCAGGGTTCACCCACATCTTGACTGCTGTGCGCCGTGCCGGTGCCCCATCTCAGAAAAGATGCAATAGAAAGGAAGAGCTACAGGGAAAGGCAACACAAATGACTCAGCCAAGTGTGGCACAGCTTCCAAGTGACGAGAGAGCAAAGAAAGGGGGACTGTTCAGCTTGGGGGAAAAAAGAACCTGCCAAGGGGGAACCTGTAGAGGTCTCTAAAGTCATGAATGGTGTGGGGAAATTGACTTGGGAAGAGTTACTTACCTCTTCTCGTACCGCAGGTCTGGCTGGTGAGCCCTGGTTCTTAATGGGCAGCAGGGTAAATAAACACTACTTCACACAGCACAGTTGGTGTGGGGAACTTACTGCTACGATGTTGAATCCCAAAACTATAATTGGGTTCAAAAAAGAACTGGAGAATTTCATGGAGGACAGGTCCATCAGTGGCGGTTAGCCAAGATGGTCAGGGACACAACTCCACGATCTGGGTGTCCCTAAACCTCCAGCTGGTAGAAACTGGCACTGAATGACATAGGATGGATCACTTGAAATTGCCCGGTTCTGTTCATTTCACTTCCGAAGGAACAATCCCTTCCACACGTACACAGTGGGAAGCGACTGTCTAGGGAGGAGTCCTGCAGAAAGGGATCTAGGGGTCAGAGTGGACCACAAGCCCAATATGAGTCCGCGTGACACTGTTGCAAAAAAAGCAAACCTGATTCTGGGCTGCATGAGCAAGAGTGTTGTGAGCAAGACACGAGAAGTCATTCTCCTGCTTTACTCTGCACTGGTTAGGCCTCAGTTGGAGTCTTGTGTCCAGTGCTGGGCACCACAAGAAAGATGTGGAGAAACTGGAGAAGGCCCAGAGAAGGGCAACGAGAATGATGAAAGGTCCAGAGAACAGGAGCGGTGAGGGAAGACTGAAAGAGCTGGGCTTGTTTAGCTTAGAAAAGAGAAGACGGAGACGGGACATGAGAGCGGTTTTCAAGTACCTAAAAGGGTGTTACGAGGAGGAGAGAGAAAAGCTGTTCCCCTTCGCCTCTGAGGACAGGACAAGAAGCAGCAAGGGGCTTAAACTGCAGCCAGGGAGGTTGAGGTTGGCCATTAGGAAAACCGTCCTGCCTGCCAGGGTGGTTAAACACTGGGATAAGTTTCCCGGGGAGGTTGTGGAATCTCCGTCTCTGGAGATATGTAAGAGCAGGTTGGACAGACGCCTGTCGGGATGGTCTAGACCAGGGGTGGGAAAGGGCCAGGGGGGTGGGCCGGCCCCGGGGGGCCCCTGCCGCTCCCCCGCCCCCAGGCCAGTTAGGGTCTGGGGGCAGGGGAACAGCGCACGCCACTTCCTCCATCCTGCCAGGAGCAAGTTGCACTGTGAAGTGCCGTGTGCTCCTCGCGGGGCAGGAGACTTCACATGCTCTCCCGCCCCAAGTCCTGACTGGCCTGGGGGTGGGAGAAGTGCACAGCGCTTCTTCCACCCTGCCCCCGCCCTGCACACTTTCCTAAGTGCCGCACGCTCCCCGGGCCCTGGCCAGGCAGAGCTTGGGAGCGTGGGACCGTACGAAGCTTCCTCTGCCCACTGCTTCATGCAAGCTCTGGTTGGCCTGGGGCTGGGGGAGCGTGCGAAGCCTCTTTCCACCCTGCCAGGGCCATGGGTGCTTAGTGGGAAGGAGGGGCAAAGGGGCCCCTCACCCCCAGACCATGATTGGTTTGGGGGTGGGGAAGCCCGGGAGCATCCTGACCCGGCCTGGGGCCACTTCAAAAATTATTTTCCACCTCTGATCTAGACGGCGCTTTGTCCTGCCAGGGGCAGGGGCTGGATTCCAGTGCGAGGATTCCATGATTCCCTATGGAGCATCTGGCACTGTCGGACAGGATGCTGGTCTGGCTGTTGCTATGTGGAGCTAGCCCCGCTTGAGGGTGATGACATGGGCTGTGTCTGCGAGCGGGTCCGGATCTGCGAGTAGGAACTCCTTGGGGTCTGTGCTGAGATTTCTCAAGGTGCAAAGCACGTGGCTGCCTGCGAGAAGCCGACACATACTGTCTCTTGTCCCTTCAGTCTTTAAAAGGAGACCTCCTGGGGACCTTTGTGAAGCCCTCTGAACGCGTGGGGTGGAGCAGCCATGAGTCTAATGGTGCCGTCAGCATTCCTCTTCTTTCGACAGGTGCTGTCTGAGTCCTCTTCCAGATCTGGAGGGTATCGCCTCTTCTCCTCCTACGCCAGACCGTCTTCCGAAATGAAGCAGAGTGGCCTAGGTACGAGCCGGCACTCCGTGTGTGTGTGTGTGTGTGTGTGTGTGTGTCCTCTTCCAACACAGTAAGTTTCCCGTACAGTCCTCCGTCTCCTCCTTTCCAAGTTCATCTCTATCTATAGCTGTCCCTGCCAGGCTCTGCCCTCCAGAGCTGAGCAGCCAGGACCCCTGGGAGGCGGAGTCTGCCCAGGCCGGTCTGCCAGGTGGCTTTGCTGGTCCACGAGCAGTGGCCAGAGCAGGGAGCGATTCCGTCCAGGGCTGGGGTGCTGCTCCGGATAAGCCGGGCACAGGGAATGGGGCTGCAGCAGCACTACCCCCATCGCTCGCAGGGGAGACCTCGGGCAGAGGCTCCAGGGCAGACATTGGGGGGCCTTCCCGGGCCTGAGCAGGCCCACAGGGGAAGCGGCATGGGGCCTGGTGGCTGAGCGGGGCACTGCCCCCTTCCAGACTCCCGTCCTGGCATCCCAAAGGAACCCTGCGCTCTGCCCCTCCCTCCACCTGCTCCTGCTGCACAGCACCCCAGCAATGGCGCCTTTCCTGCCCCTTGCTAGGCAGCTGCCCACGCCCCCAGTCCTGTGTGCAGGCCTGCTGCCGTTTCTGTGGTGCTTAGGTTGCTGTTCGTGGGGGGGCAGGGCATGTGTGGGGAGGGAGGAAGGGGCATAGGGATGTATGTGGGAATGGGCAGTGCGGTGAGGGGATATAGGAATGGAGGCAGGGGGTGGGTAGTGGGGAGGGGGAGCGGGGGAGGGATTAGGGAGGATGGTGGGTGTAGGAATGGAGGTTGAAGGTGAGACTAGGGATGGAAGGAGGGGGCTGGGCTGTGGACCCTGGACTGTTTTATTGGTGGGTGGGGTGGGAGCGGGAAGGGTGCAGGCGGGGGGCCTGGCAGGCGATTCACGGGCAGGAGGGGCCGGTTCAGAGGTGTGGTGGGCAGGGGCGGGAGCGGGAAGGGCGCATGGTGGGGGCCTGGCTGGCGATTGATGGGCCGGAGCAGGCAGGTAGGCAGATCCAGGGGTGTGGT